CCCCCCCCCCCCCCCCCTACAATGCTGTGATTGTTAGTATCACTCAGCCCTCTGTGAACAGTAAACAGCCATCAGGTGCTAATGATCCATTGTTAGGCTGATGGTCCTTCTTGAGCATGTGATCAGCTGGTTCTGGTTGTCAGCAGCAAACTGGTTGATCCACTCTGAGAAGGTGCTATTTAAGAGACTGAGCTGAATACAGCACCTCAGACTGAGGAAGTCCTCAGGATGAGAGACGAAACGTTTCTACATTTTTTTGTTGTTTTTTTGTGTTTTTTTGTTTTCTTGTTTTTTGAATGTCCAGAGGATGAGATTGAACTTTTTTGGATATTAAACACTGTGTTCGTCCTTTTACCATCAGAAGGTTTTTATTTTTTTCAAACATGTAATTTAAGTGATTGGCTTCATTGGGTTTCATGAAAAAATGTAATTATCATCAGCATAATATTTATTATTTGGGTGTCAACATTTTTTTTCAAAATGTCTTCAGTTGATCTAAAATGCTGCTGCCAGAGTTTTCTTGAGAGTTACTGGGAGAGATCATATCTCTCCAGTTTTAGCTTCTCTCCATTGGCTCCCTGTCAAATCCAGAATAGAACTCAAAATCTTACTTCTAACCTACAAAGCTCTCAACCACCTAGCTCCATCTTATATTACAGATCTTATTGTTCCATACTTTCCTAGCAGAGCACTTTGCTCTCAGACGTCAGGTTTACTTGTGGTTCCTAGAGTTTACAAAAGCAAAATGGGAGGAAGATCTTTCAGTTATCGGGCTCCCTGAGACTGACACCTTGTCTACTTTTAAGATTAGGCTTAAGTCTTTCCATCCATCCATCTTCTGCTTCTTCTGAAGTCGGGTCGTAGGGGCAGCAGCTTGAGCAGGGAGGCCCAAACATTTTTTTTCCTCCACATCTACCTCTTCCAGCTTTTCTGGGAGAACTCCAGGCGTTCCCAGTCCAGTTGAGAGACATAGTCTCTCCAGCGTGTCCTGGGTCTTCCCCGGGGTCTCCTCCCAGTCGGATATGCTTGAAGCACCTCCCTAAGGAGGCCCTCAGGGAGCTTCCTTAGTAGATGCCCGAACCACCTCAACTGGCTCCTCTCGATGTGGAGGATTAGCAGTTATACTCCAAGTGTCTCCCGGATAACTGAACTTCTCAACCTATCTCTAAGGGAGAGTCCAGCTAGCCTGTGGAGGGAATTCATTTCAACCGCCTATATCTGCGATCTCGTTCTGTCAGTCACTGCACAGAGTTTGTGTCCATAGGTGAGGGTAGGAATGTAGACCGACTGGTAAACTGACAGCTTAAAAGGTCTCTCTTTTAAATGAGTCCTCGAGGCTCAATGGGATTTACCTGTAGAAATAAAGGTTGAATGAACTTGAGGCAGAACCTCACTGTTAAGATATTCGAGCCGGGGGGAAAGACGTGGGCTGGAGGTGGTTTCCGGGCCCGGTGACCCGCAGCCAGCTCCCGTCTTTAACACTCACCCTTGACCCAAATAGAGCATTCCACCCTTTTTTGACTGTGGACCATAGCCTCAGATTTGGAGATGCTGATTCTCATCCCATCCGCTTCACATTTAGTTGAGAACCGTGCCAGTGAGAGTAGAGGATCCCGGCACGATGACTACACTAGGACTACATCATCTGTAAATAGCAGAGAAGGAATCCTGATTTCGCCCTGTGATGGACTTGCAACTGTCCAGGGTGTCCCCCGCCCCTCGCACAGTGATTTCTGGACATGGGCACCGGCGACCCCCGTGACCCAAAATGGAAGAAGCGGGTAAAAGATAATGGATGGATGGAATCCTGATTTCACAGAAACCAGAATCCCTCTATCCCCTGGCTGCACCAAGAAATTTTGTCCATAAAATGTATGAACAGAATGATGACAACGGGCAGCCCTGGCAAACTCCAACTCCCACTCTGAAAGGGTCCGACTTACAGCCAGCAATGCAAACCAATGTCTCACACTGTTTGTACAGAGACCGAACAGCCTATAACAATGGGCCCCCGATCCCATACTCACGTAGCACCCCCACAGTGAAAATGAGTCCTCGAGGCTCAATGAGATTAACCTGTATAAATAAAGGTTGAATGAATGAACAATGAACAGGAGAAACACAGTTGAATGCCTTCTCCAAGTCCACAAAACACATGTACACTGGATGGGTAAACTCCCATGACCTTAGTGAGGAAAAAGACCTGGTCCAGTGACCTCACAGTTATGGACAGATTATGGACAGACTAACAACGACTCGGCTTCCTCCATGGAAGACAAATACCACCGGCATGATGGTATTGAGAAGGTCTGAGATGTATTCCTTCCCTCTTCCAACGACATCACTGGTTGAGGTCAACAGCACCCCACCTTCACTGAGCACAGTGATTTAGTAAGGTACTGCTTTCCCCTCCTCAGTCACCTGATGGCTTGCCAGAATCTCCTCTGAGTCTGCTGAGAGTCTCTACTCAAGGCCTCATTGAACTCCTCCCACATCTGAGCTTTTGCCTCAACAACAGCCAAGGCTGTGGACCGCTTAGCCCTCCGGTACTCCCCAGCTACCGTCAGAATCCCACCAGTCAACAAGGCCCAATAGAACTCATTTTCCAGCTTGACAGCCTCGTGTCAAGTTGCTTAATATTTAATTTATTGGGTTTTTTTGTATGTATCTACAAAGTTTTTGCATTTTTTCCCCCTCTCGCAGGTCAAGGTTGTGTGAAAAACAGAACGGTCTAATAAATCAGAGAAACGGACGCCTCCCACCCCCAGCTGACAGGTGCACAGCTTTCTGAATTGGATTTCTAATTTTATGTAAAGTACGAATTCAGAAATAATACTCCAGATAAGCAGAGTTAAATGGAAAGAAAAAAAAGTTCAGTAAGTAACTTAAAATAATAAAATGAACGATATTTCGTCACCGAATCCAATAGAAGATTCATGTGAACTGTCACCACTTTATCCACCTGTCCCTATAGACCAGCCACCATTGCAAGACTCGCAGAAAAACGTAATTAAAACACTGAATCCTCACAAAAGTAGTGTTTAAAAATGTGAATCACAAAAAGCTTTTACATACCTGAAACTTCCAGGGCACTTCCAAGTTACTTTCAGGGTACTACTCTGATACTTACAGGTGCCTGAAACTTACCATGTATGTACTGGGTACCTACCTGGAAGTAAAAGTCTATGTATTTGGCAAGTATGTAGTAAGTGCCTGGTATCTACAGGGACCAGGCTGTATTATAAAGTTTACAAATTCAAATTCAAAAATACTTTATTAATCCCAAAGGGAAAGTATTTGTTGTTGTAACTCGTTATCCTCATTTCATTAAGAGATGTTATAGATACTAATGACTGCTAGTTCCAGGATCTCAGTGGTCAGGCACTCGAGCACAGCTGGCAGGTAGATGAGAATGCGTCCACAGAACATCCTTTTCAACTCATTTGAGATTTGGGGCTGTAGTTGAAATATTATTTGAGCTTTTGAGATGTTAATCAGCTGCTGTTGGTTGTAGAAATCTGCCTTGTTGCCATGGTTACGCATCATAACAAATGTCCAAAACTAAAAAAGTTTCACTAAACATCCTTCCAGCTGCACAGCATCTGATACCAGAAGAAACAATCATCCAAAAAATGTGATTTACATCCAGAAAAAGAGGAATTAAAGTTTCCAGAAGCAAAATCTCAGAATGGAAGTAACAGAGCTGCTCCAACATGCAGCCACCTTGAGTGGCACAGTTCTAGAACACCTGGTACACACCTGGTACTAGGCCTGTACCCTTAAAGTACAAGGTGCATTTCCTGTAAGGACCAAGTATGTATCCAGTATGTATTGGGTATGTGCCAGGTTCTGATCCTTTAAGTTCAGGGTTGTACCCAGTAATTACCCAGCAAACACCAGGTATGAGTTCTCTCTTGTAAATGAGTCCCCAAGGTTCAATGCACTGTTTCCCCTAGTTAACTTGCCATAGCGGGGTGCTAATCTCATCCATGATTTTTGTTGATGGGGAGGGACAGAGACATGTCTGAGCGCAGCTTGTACCAACAGTTTTTGAGCGGGTGCGGGGGGTGTTCAGCATGAGGGAAGAGGCGCCTTTAGCTTTTTAGCTAGAGAGCTAGTTGACGGGGTGGGACACCCCACTTGTATAATGGTAGGGGAAACACTGCAGTGGGACTAACCTGCATAAATAGAAGTTGAATGAAAGTGCTCAGCAAGTATCAGTCACATATTTGGTAATTACCAGGTACATATCCTGTCGGTACAAGATAATGAGTCACTTCATAATACAGCTCAGTTTCCATAGGGACTTGGTATGTACTGTACGTATGTAAGGTAAGTATTGGGTAATTTACAGTACCTTGTTAGATTATGTATTGTTACCAATATTTTTTGTTCAAGTCAGTCTTGTTTGGTTTATTTGTTTTGAAATTGTTTGGTTTGTGTAAAGATATTCATGGATATCAACATTTAGGTAATTACTCGCATTGTTTCATTGAATCTGTATAAATCAATAGGAGATATGGTCTGATCACATGCAGTTACGTTATATTGTAATTTACTGTTTTTGAGAACTAGTGAGGAAGAAATAAGTCAACATAAATAACAGATCAAAGGTGAATAGATTAGCTGTTAACCTAATAGTATTTCTACTAAGTACCCATCACCCTTATGTCCTCCTTTGATTCTCTCCTTGTCTCTTTCAGGTCTTCTGCCATCCCTCCTCGTCTCTCTTGGCCACATGAGTTGAAGGATTCTAAAGCAGTTTCTTTTTTCATTGTTATGAATCTGTCTATATTTTACAACTCAAGCTGCCTTAAAGAAGCCATGGTTCTGAAGTTTACCATCACTTATTGGTGACGATGGACCAGTGTCCATCAGGGTTGGACCAGTATTGAAATGGACAGTGGTGGAATACAGTAAGTGACGAACAGGACAGCAGAACGAACCAGGATCCAAGAAATTATTTGTTGAGGAGGTCATAGTCCATACCTTCACAGTGGCGTAGTACCACCTTCAGTCGTTCTTTCACCCTTGGTGTTTCTACATATTTTTTGAATCGCTCCTTTCTCCTGAAGTTCTTTTCTTTTAGACCTGCACGTCCAGACTCCAACACTCAACCATCTCTCACAAACGCAGTCCTCCTCCCTTGCCTTCGTCCCAAGACATTCTGTAACCCCTGTGCACCCTCTTCCCTACATCACCCTAACTTCACTGCTACCAGACCTCACCAGATTTCTCCTCCACCTTTTTGGTTATCATGGCGGCGGCTGCCACCGCCTCGTCTTCGTCTCCACCAATGTCCTCGACCTCCAACGGCAGTGCTCGAGAGCACCTGCTGGCGGTGCGCAGGCGCACCCCACAAGCCCGGCCATACACAGTGGGACCCGACAGCCTCAGTAGCCTGTCAGGGCATGATGCAGATGAAGCGTCTGCCTTGTCTGCGTTGTCCGGAGCCCAGACGGAATCAGCTGGAGTTGGGCTGCAGCGAGCCAATAGCGACACAGACCTGGTGAGCTCAGAAAGCCGCTCGTCGCTTACTGCGTCTATGTACCAGCTGACTTTGGGCCACGGCCACCTTGTCATCTCATGGGACATAAAGGAGGAAGTAGATGCCACCGACTGGATTGGCCTGTACCACATTGGTGAGAAAACAAGTTGTCCTAAAGTGTGTGTGAATGTGTCCATTTGTCTTGAGACAGACTGGAGACCTGTCCAGAGTCTAAATCCAGGTTTCATCCTGTGGAAGGTGGAACCAGCATGTTGAATATCAGCTACTTTTAAAGAAATAGTTTCTTAGCCTTAAAGAGAAGTTCTAATAGTTAGCAGTACTTTATCAGCCATGACATCAGTTATGGAGCCCAGATTACTGAGAAAGAGGCAAAAGTTTTCATCCGGGCCAAGGTAATGGTTAGCAAAACGAGTGGCAGTATATTTTTTGTTTGCTTTCAGGTTTTCGTCAAGCCAGAAATTTGGGGGTGACCTTTGATTCTGATCTTAGTTTTTCTAAACATTTTAAGAACAACACTAAAACAGCATTTTTTTTTTAATTATATTAGGAATATTGCCAAAATCAGAGCATTTATCTCTTTAACCAGTGCAGAAACTCTTATTCATGCCTTTGTCTCCTGCCATCTTGATTATGGTACCTCTTTATTTTCTGTTCTACCCCAAAGTTCTCTGTGTCGCCTTCAACTAATGCACAACACTGCAGCTAGGGTTCTCACAAGAACCCATAAATATCAGCACGTCTCTCCCGTTCTGTCCTCGTTGCATTGGCTCCCTGTGGTTTTTAGGATTGACTTGAAAATGTTGCGTTTGTTTTCAAATCCCTGACTGGTCTGGCACCATCATATCTGTCTGAGCTTCTTACCCTTGAACTGGTTATTACTTTCCACTCCCAGAGCTCGACTGGCGGCAGAACTTTTATGGTCAGGGCTCCTAATCCGTGGAATTCTCTTCCTCTAAATATGAGACGGGCTCTTCATTGTCTTCTTTTAAACCATTACTTAAAACTTACATGTTAATAAGGCGTTTCTTCTTGTTTTTATTTTCATTTTATCTTATATTGTTACGCAGTTTAATAGATGTGGTATACTTTTTGTGTTTCTGATGTCATTTAAGATGTTTTAATTGATTAATGTGAAGCACTTTCTAACATTTGTTTAAAAAAGTGCTATACAAGTAAAGTATTATTATAAAACAACTTTCTCAAAAATGACACAGTTTCCAACAACAAAGTAGTTTCACTAGTTGACAAACTTGGACCAAAACCTCATGTCCTGAAATCCAGCCCCCTTTGTCCCCTAGTCACAGAGCCAAGAGGGAAATTTAAACATACCCTTTGTCCGTCCGTCATCCATCCATCCAACAGAGCGCGATGCCTTGGAAAGAAACTGTTAATGACTTCTGGTTTGGGGCGTGGCTATATCTAGACATAAGAATGTAGAAAATTAGGTTGCCATGTCAAAATCAAAGATGGCCACCACTATATGTGTATGTGTGTGTGAGAATAAATGTCTGTCTGTCTATGGTGAATATTGTGTTCAATTAATTGTACCAGTCATTTCAGACAGTGCTTTGGTTTTTCATTATTTGTTAACACAATCATCAAAATTACAGGAATTAACACTTGAAATGTTTCACTCCATGTGTAATGAATATCTATGTAATATATTAGTTTCAGGTTCTGAAATGACTGACAAAAAGCATGAACTTTTTCATATTTAACTTTTGAGATTCACCTTTATAGCCAACAAATATAAAGTATAAATTAATATATATATATATATATATATACAGATCATTTCCAAAAAATTAAATGTCATGTAAAAGTTGTTTAACTTCCATAATTCCTTTCAAAAAGTTAATATTTAATAGATGATAGATTCAGGACCCACAATTTAAACTATTTCAAGTATTTATTTGTTTATTTTTACATAATTTGGGCTTCCAGCTCATGAAACCCACGAAAACAGGATTAAAAACAATTATAATTCTGTGGAGACATCAGCCCAAATATTGCAGGACATGAATGTTTTAAACTGAGTGTGACACTAATCATCTACTAAACTCAAAGTACCTGCACAGGTTTCCCCAGGTTTCATTAAATTGATTCAGTTTGGTTCAATATGGTGAAGACCGCAGACAGAACATCTGTCCAGAAGACCATCATTGAGACCCTCCATAGGATGGGTAAGACACAACAGTTCATAGCTAAGGAGGCTGGCTGTTCATAGAGCGCTGTGTCCAAGCACATCAATGGAAAGTCTAGTGGAAGGACAACATGTGGCAGGAGAAGATGCACCAGCAAAAGAGACGACCGTGGGCTTCAGTGGATTATCAACCAGAGAAGATCCAGAATCTGTCAGAGATCCAGAAAGAGTGGAATGAGGCAGAGTCACAGCTTCAACAACCACCACATTCAGATCCAGGAGATGGGCTACAACTGTCGGGTTCCTCAGTCCTCTTTTCCGATAAAAGTAAAGTGTCTTTCATTCAGAAATCAAGGTCCAAGTGTTTGGATGAAGAAGGGTGAGGAACAGAACCCATACTGGTTCAGGTCCAGTGTGAAACATCCACAGTCAGTCATGATCTGGGTGCAGTGTCCAGTGCAGGTGTTGGTAAACTCTGCTTTCTTCAATCCAAGGTCACTGCAACAGTCTACCAGAATGTTTTGGAGGACTTCATGATTCCTTCTGCTGAGGATCTGTATGGAGATGCAGAGTTCATCTTCCAGCAGGACCTGGTCCCTGCCCATGCTGCCAGAAGCACCAGAACCTGGTTTGGTGCCACAGTGTTTGACTGGCCAGCCAACTGGTCGGACCTAAACCCCATTGAGAATCTATGGGTCTTCTCAAGAGGAACATGAGGAGCACCAGAGCAACAACAAAGAAGATCTGACAGCCTCAAGGAAATCTGGGCTTCCATAACTCCCAGTTAATGTCACAGGCTGATTGTCTCAATTCCATAACTCCCAGTCAATGCCACAGGCTGATTGTCTCAATTCCATAACTCCCAGTCAATGCCACAGGCTGATTGTCTCAATTCCATAACTCCATCATTGTTCCTGGTGGTTGATGAAACTGCTTCCTCCACTCACCAGAATCTGTCACTGCCTCAGACAAGAATCAACGTGTAACATGAATCAAAGTGTGTGTTTGTTCCTACAGATGAGACATGTGTAGCCAACGTCTGGGAGTCCAAAAACCGTGGGATCAATGGCACCCAGAGAGGACAGATCCTATGGAGGCTAGAGCCAGAGCCCTACTTCATGGAACGTGCGTGTTTTCATTAAATACACTCATTTACAGATTAAAGGTTCATTATACCAACTTTAGAGTCATTTAAATTTAATATTCAACTAAAGTAGTCCCTGGTTTATAGCAGGGAATTTGTACCCGAGATAAGTGAAAAACCACAAAGTAGGGATAGTAGTACAAGTAGTAGTTTATTTTAGTATATATAAAGATGTTTTAAATCCCACTCTATTGCAATATTCTAAACAATGTTTCTAAACTCTAAACGCTCTAAAAGAGCACAGAATGTCATGATTTCCCTCTCTGCCTCCGCTGCTCTCAGCCACCTGCAAGCGTTCTTGGCCCCGCCTACTTCTCCGCTCTGCACGGAGAACAGCTGATCAGCTGCAGCAGGAAGCTTATTCTGCAGTGTGGGCTGCACAAAGGTGCAGTGGTGATAATTAGTTTATAATAATTTATTTTAAATAAAAATTCCATGCCAATCGTGCGGCTCATCCATCAATCAGCCAATAGTGTGTTATGTCCAATCTTATTTTGAAAAACCGTGATTGAGCGAGTCAGCGAAAAACAAACCGCGAAGTAGAGGGGACTACTGTACTTCTAACTCAGATAGGGTTGGAGGCAGAAGGGTTCCCCCTTTCCTACACACAGTGTTGGAAGAGGGAGGGTGAAGGTGTTGGACTGTAAATGGTAAATGGACTGTACTTACGTAGCACCTTTCTATCTGATCAAGCTACTCGAAGCTCTTTACAACAGTCTGTGCCTCATTTACCTCCACACACATTCATACAGCACTTTATATATAGAAAGACTGATCAGAGCTTTACATCACATTCATTCACTGATGGGGCACACATCGAGACAGAGAGGGGTTCGGTGTCTTGTCCGGGGACACTTCAGCATGTGACTTCTGGTGGAATCAAATCCCCAACGCTCCCAATGGAGGACGACTGCTCTAACCACTCAGCCACAGCTGCCTCTCAACTGGCGGACCCTTCAAAAGTAGTTTTAAACAATTGAGTACTTTTTGTTCTTGCATTAGCTCAAAATCAAAATATGTTAATTTAAATTAATTGACTAAAGTAATGTGTAATTTATGGATTCACTGTTAGTTCTCAACAAATATGCACACTAAAAACTGTTGGGTTAAAATACAACCCAGTGCTGGGTCACACCCTGGGCACAGTTGGGTTACCAGTTTGACTTAATATAATGGGTTAAGTTTTGCCCCAGAAATTTCTAAAATGTTACTTTGGAAACCTCAAACTAACTTTGTAGAGCAAACAATATATTAATGAAGCCAGTGAGGTTATACTGTTATAAGCCACTAGAGGCCGATCTAAGTTATTTGGTTCCTCTTATGAACAGCCTGAATTTGCATGAATTTTCCAAGTTAAATATTCAAATTAATTTACAATAGCAGAAAAATATAGACAAAATTACTTTCTATGACACAGTAAAGTCTTCAGTGAATTGATGGAGTTATTTGTCCCTCAAACTAGGTTTGGGTTGTAACTCATTACAAGATGTTTCACTTAAAAATTGCCTTTGATTGTGTTCAAAGAGTTTCTGTCGTAATAAGTTATCACCTGATTTTTGTGTTCTCCACAGCTGAGACAAAGATCTGTTTCAAATATTACCATGGTGTAACTGGAGCTCTGAGAGCCATGACTCCCTGCATCACTGTCAAGAACACACAGATACCGGTAAGGACGGGAAGTACCCAGATGTAAACCCCAGGTGTACTGGTAAAAAAATGCAAGTGTAGAAACCAGGATATGGCAGCAGGGACACAGGTTTTAAAAGTCAGGCGTACCAGTGAAAACACAGGTAAAGAAACAGATATATTTTGAAGAAGCCAGGTGTAAGAACCAAGGTTTACCAGTAAGAACCCAGGTGTAAGAACCAAGGTTTACCAGTAAGAACCCAGGTGTAAGAACCA